TTTGTATACCTTCTGGCCGTGGTTCGTGTTCAAGGCACCGCTAAAGTTCCCGAGCTTGTGAAGCACTTCCCCACCGAGCTAAAGATACGATGCCAGCACAAATACCGTCGCTCTCCCAGGCCTTCGCGTATATGCCATCTGGTAAGACCTGTAAGTTTTATGTCGAGGCTACGTGCGCAACTTGCACAACAAAAATGCCGACGGAAAAGCAATCGCAGCCTTGTTGTTGGGAATATCTAATCCGTGCACCAAGCACTAGCTCACTAGCTCTTTTGGCATGATGCACCTGGTCAGCCGCAACAGGCTCAAAATGCTCCAAAGGAGAATCTGCGTAGAACTTGGTACGCTGCTGTGGCAGCGGGCTTGCCATGGAATCTGCCCCGCGCATTACCCCCGAGCTCTTGAGTTGGGTGCAATCAGCTTTGGCACGCGAGCTCCAGGCTTTGGAGAGAGGCCACGAAGCCGTCGTCGAGCACCTTCATGTGCTGGCGAAAGCGTCGGACACGCGGTTGCAGACACCGGAGAAGCCGGAACTCGAGCTTGGAGAAATAAGCATTGTTGAACACGATGCCTCGGAGCCTTTCCAGTTTGAGAGCGAGCGGAGTGTCGCACCAACGAAAAGCGAAGCCAAAAGACCGACCACGATCAGAAGAAGTCCGTCTTCATTGAAAGATTCCTTGACATTGGATGATGGGCCGCAGAAGCCCTTTTGGCATCCAGACCGCTTTGTGCAGTCCTGCGGCTTTGAGGTTTTCTTCTCCTTCCTCATATTTCTGCAAGCTGTGAGCATGGCGATAGAGGTGCAGTTCACGGGATTGCAGTGGGGCTATGAGCTCCAGTATGCGGGCTACACCGTCCCTGCGTCGGAGGCAAGCATCGTTCTGTACTGATTTTTGATTCGTCCCGCGGTGCATCATCCGGTTTCGACCTCTCCTCTCTCTCCGGGCTTTTTCAGGTAGAGCCATTGCCGGCTAGGTTTGCCAAATCTTCGTACTACCAGGAAGCAGCATCAGAATGCACGTGCACAGTTCCGTTGTGTCCTTACCCTGCAGGCCTGGCCAGGAGTGCCTGCATTTCTTCAAGCCATCGAGATGTTCTTCGGGTGTTGTTTCTTCATGGAGATGGTGCTGAAGCTCTGTGGCCTTGGAAGGGAGTTCTTCCACGACCTCTGGAACTGGTTTGACTCGTCACTGGTGATGCTTTGGCTCGTTGACACGCTCCTCACAAGTCTCCCGATTGAGACGCCTTTCCTGAGGTTGATACGGTTGATGAGATTGATTCGGCTCGTCAAACTTGTGCGATTTGTACAAGGTTTCGACTCCTTGATTGTGATGACAACGGCTCTACTGCACTCCGTGAACGCATTGCTCTGGGTTGCTGTTATCATGATGATGGTTCAGCTGCTGTTCGCACTTCTGCTTAACCAAGTCTTGATGACATTTGTTACGTCATCCATGTTTGAGTTCTCTGTCGACGAGCAAACGCAGTTGTTTGAGTACTTCGGCACTTTTCCCAGGGCTATGCTGACAATGTTTCAGATGACCCTCGGCACATGGGTTCCAGTCGCTCGCATTCTGCAGGAGGTGGTCAGCCCCATATTCAACTTGTTTACCATTCTGCATAAGGTGACGGTCGGTTTCGCGTGCATAGGAGTTATCAATGGTGTCTTCATGCAAGAAACTATGCGAGTGGCACAGACAGACGATGTGATCATGATGCGGGATGTGGCCAGGAAGGAGAAGATCCATAGCAAGAAGATGAATGACTTTTTCCAGTACACGAACCGCTCGGGTTCCACCATCACCAGGTCGGAATGGAATGCAGTGATGGGAAACGCCGGTGCCCGGCATTGGTTTGCAGCCCAAGGCCTCCCAATGCAAGACCCTGACCTAGTGTTCGACCTCCTCGACCAGGACAAGAGCGAGTGTGTCGGGATGGAGGAACTGCTCAGAGGGGTGTCTCAGACAGATTCAGACCACTAGTGTCAGTCCTCGACATCCGTGCTTGCTACTGTTGCGCTGTTACTACGGCACTCCATGCACAGTTCATAGCCTCTGGTGCGAATGAAGTTGAATTATGTTGAATCTATGTGGCCGTGTAGGTGTCGAGGTGGGTGGGTGGGTGGGTGGGTATGGTTGTGCCTGCGTGCTGGTGCATGTGCACATGTATTGCGGAAGCGCTTTCTGGGTTCCTGCATCGCCGGTATTGCAATCCCTTTCGCCGATGCTGCTTCACAGCGTCGGCTGCTTAATTTAGAACGGATGCTTAGGACATTTCAGGGCCCAACGTGCTCGGTATGAGTGCGCCAAAGCAGCAGACAGAAGCGCGCCTCACCACGTTTCGATATGTCAAAAGGTTAGAAATTGATTAGCAACTAGTTTTTCTCGCGTGTCATTTTAGTCGATGAGGAATTGGGGCTCGGCCTGAACGCTTGCAGTGGACACGACTTGCCACTGCAGGCCTGCGAACTTTCCAGGCTTTGAAAGAACCGTCAAGCCCCGGACAGTTTTGATGTGAACCGCAGTTGTTGGGCTGCAATCGCCCCAGCAATCAGCTCGTGTAAGCATTGCATGATCGTCATGTTTCTCCGTTGCGACATGGCCACGCGGGCCTGCTTACGCTTGTTGTGGCAAAGACTAGGGTCAACATTTGCTTGTTTTTTGTTTTTTTCCTCTCTCTCTCTCTCCTTCGGTCTAGTCTCTGTGCGTTAGAACGTGTGCTCGTGCCGGTGCCCGGGGTCGGCCGTGTAGGTGGCCAGCCCTCCGTGACGTTAAGTTGCACAGGCTAATGTCAAGGCACTGCAAGATTGCGCGGCTGGAACGCACGGGGCCGGGAAGGGTACAACTTCAACTGCTTCAATGGGAGACGAGGGAGGCGAGGGTGGACACGTCGCGCGCCAGACAAGCCTTGGAGCTGGAGATCAGCTTGAGCTAGAGTATTCCCTTGCGTCACGCTCTGTAGGTGTTGCTAATTGTAAGCCCGTTGCCAGCCATCTTGGTTTGTACCAGGTGTCTCAATTGCAGGGCCCAGCACGGAGCTTGGACTTGGCATGTCTCGCTGGGAGCAACCGCCAATTGCTTGCAGATGCGAAAGCTGCCTTGGCTGCTCTGCGACGCTCATCTGCAGAGCCCGCGACAAGCAGCACAAGCACTTCAAGACTGTCAAGAAAAGCTTGGGTTCGTTTCGAACAGGGAGACAAGGACCAGGAAATGACAGATGAATGCATCACCGCACTCTAGAGACATGCCTGAGGCATGATTCTAATTTCAGTTCAGGCTTCTTGGGAAGCCTGATTTTCACCAGCTGGCATATGTTATGTGCAGCTTGAAAGCGCCCCATCGAGCATGTGCATGTTTGTGTGTGTGTGTNNTTTGTGGAACTCCTGTTTCTAAGGATGTTGTTGGTTCTGATTGGTTTTACAAAGGTTGAATGAGTCTACGAGTAAAGATCTCAGAGCAAATGAAGAATGCAGGGGGCTGGCAGCCTGTTCCGTGATGCCAGCCAACGAAACTAGCGGAATAGGTGAAAGGAGCCATGGACGCGTAGCTCTGTACCTGAAAATGTCTCAACTGCCGATATGTATATATATATATAGATATATCTATAAGTTATCTGCGGAGTATGTCATTCTTGCAAGGTGTCCAAAAGGTCACTTCAGGCTCAACAGTCAGTAGTTAAGCCATAGTTCAACGACGACATCACAACGGTGACAACAAAGACGACAGATTCTGAGTTATCGGAAATGGAGATGACAACCGGCTTGACGGGACAACTACGTATGTGTGTGTGTGTGTG